CTTTTTTCAGTGTAACTATTAGCAAATTTTAAGTTACAGAGGTGGTTCACATTTGTGTCTTGCATTATATTTCATATATATATAGTACAAGTCTACTAGGAGAGGCCTACAACAAACACAGGACAAGTCTTGCCCTTGGGACCTTTGAAACCAGAGGCAAATTAAGTTTAAAGCTGTAAACCAACCCCAACTTAGCTCAGTTAATGATTGAATCAAAATTATCCCCTGCTTACCCATCCTGCCTGGCAGGAAAATGTGTGTCTTCTCTAGGGGAAATAACTTAACTTGTTTTAGTCTTTTTATATATGATGTCCAATACATAATCAAAAATTATAAAATATCAAAGAAGCAAGGAAATTAGATCCATTATCAGGAGAAAATTTAGCTCGTAGAAGAAGACCTACAGATGATTGAGATGTTGGAATAAGTAGACAGGAGTTTTAAATAATTGTTAATAGTATTTTTAAAATGTTGAAAAGATAAAGAGTTCATAGAAACGAGGTCTATTTAAAATTCTAAAACTGATGGGGCGCCTGGGTGGCGCAGTCGGTTAAGCGTCCGATTTCAGCCAGGTCACGATCTCGCGGTCCGGTCCGTGAGTTCGAGCCCCGCGTCAGGCTCTGGGCTGATGGCTCAGAGCCTGGAGCCTGTTTCCGATTCTGTGTCTCCCTCTCTCTCTGCCCCTCCCCCGTTCATGCTCTGTCTCTCTCTATCCCAAAAATAAATAAACGTTGAAAAAAAAATTTTTAAATTCTAAAACTGAAAAATACACTATCTGTAATTAAGGAGTCATTGGATAGCTATAACAGCAAATGGGCAAAGCAGAAGATAGGATTTAGTGAATTTAGACATAGCGAAATAGAAATTATCCAAACTGAAGCACAGAGAGGAGGAAAAAGTGAACACTGAAAAACATGTGGGTCACTGCCACATGGTCTAATGTATGTGTAAGTAGGAGAAAGAACAACAAAAGGCATAACTAAAAGGATAACCCTTGAGAGTTTTCTAAAATTAACAATACTCATTAACCAGCAGGCCCAAGAAACCTAGTACCCTATCCTCAATAAAAGCAAAATATATGCAAAGAAAACTACATCCAGGGACAATATGGTCAATTTACTGAAAATCAAAAATAAAGAGACTCCTCCCTGATGGGCTGAGGGAGAATGCTGAGCAAGGAGAGAGAGAATGCAACATCTGTCTCCCCCAGCACAGGTTCGCAGGTCTAAAATATGTCTGTACCTGGGAGAAAGGAGAGGCCTTTACCTTTAAAAAGTTGAGTATTCTCAGGGTGCCTGGGTGGCTCAGTCGGTAGAGTGTCCGACTTTGGCTCAGGTCATGATCTCGCAGTTGATGAGTTTGAGCCCCACGTCGGGCTCTGTGCTGGCAGCTCAGAGCCTGGAGCCTGCTTCAGATTCTGTGTGTCTCTCTCTCTGCCCCTCCCCCGCTCACACGCTGACTCTCTCTGTCTCAAAAATACAATAAACATTAAAAAAATAAAAATAAAAAAATTAAAAATATGTATGTGAAAATTCAAAAAAATCCTAAATGCAACCAATAAAAAAAAAAAACAAACTTTGAAGGAACAATAGTAAGACTGAAATAACTGAAGATCTTAAATCTGAAGATGAGAAAACTAGGGGACATAGGACCATTCTTTAAATACTTGACCTGTCATGTGTCACAGGGAATAGTTTTATTCCTTCTGAAGCTAAGAACAGACCTAAGATCATTAAATTAGTGAATATTACAATGACAACTTGCAGCTCAATGGAATGAAGACCTTTCAGTTATAAAAGTAATAACAATGGGGCTATTTGTTCTTTATTCATTATTTAACAAATGTTTTTTTGTGAGCCTACTGCACATTAGGCACCTTTCTAGGTATTGGATGAGTGTCAAGACAAAGAAAAAAAGCCTTGGTCTTATGGAACTTCTATTTAATGGGGGAGACAGTCACAAATTTAAAATATTCTATAATACTTGTTGTGGAAGCAGGGAAGAAGACAGAAAATGGGGAGTTAGAGATGGACATCATGGCCTAATAAGAGAAGGAATGGCTCACTGAGAAAGCATAAGGATCCTGGAACAGGAGTGTACAAATGAAGCCAGTGGCAGCTGAAGCAGTATATGCCTGAATCAGTGTGGTGAGAGACAGTATGGAGGAAACTTAGAGGCCATTGTGAGGCGTTTGGCTACCATTTTGAGTGGGAGGTGGTTGTGGAGGAAAATAATCAACACATGAAGAATTTTGAGATAATGATTTTGTTGCTTACCAGATATCTACCTGCAAAAGGACATGAAGGGATCACCAGCAAGGACTAAAAATATACATTTGAAAACAGGCGAAATCTGCCTTTAATACAAAGGAGTCACAGTTCAGAAGAACAAATGAGAGTTTGACATTGATCTCTAAAGGAGTCATGTTAAGGATTATTTCTGTCATTTGAATTAACCGAATATGTGATATGAAAGTTTTCTGATTTTTGAGGGGTTGATTTCTTCATCAGATGAGAAGCCTTCAGAGAGTTTGAGCTGGAGGAGTGGCAGGATCCAGTTTATATTTAAGCAGATAATTCAGGCCAACACGTGAAGAATAGACTGCAGGCAGGGAAGGGCAAGGGTCTGTGACTGTTGCACGAATCTTGGCAGGAGATGATGGTGGTTTGGCTGATGGTAGTGGCTGTGGAGGTGATGAGAAGTGGTCAGATTCTGGACATATTTTAGTGGTAGAGCCAGGAGAAGTTGCAGATGGATTGCACATGGAATTTGAGACAACGGAGATAAGGATAATTCAGTTGTATGGCCTAAGCAACTGGAAAGATGAAATTAACTGAGGGAAGGAAAACTGTGGGAGGATTTAGTTTGGGGTTTGGCAGGTGGAGAACAGGAATTTACATTTTTTTGAAATGTTGACAATCTTAGGAGGTACTGAGCTCCCCCTTGCTGACATAGCAGAGGCTGATCAACCATGTAGAAGGGTAAGAAGGGGTTGGTTATATGTTGAATTAGACCAGTGCTGCTTTTTAAAATTTTTTTTTAATGTTTATTCATTTTTGAGAGAGAGAGAGCATAAGCAGGGGAGGGGCAGAGGGAATGGGAGACACAGAATCCAAAGCAGTCTGCAGACTCTGAGCTGTCAGCACAGAACCGGAAGTGGGGCTTGAACCCGTGAGCTGTGAGATCATGACCTGAGGCAAAGTTGGATGCTTAACCATTTAACTGACTAAGCCACCCAGGAGCCCCTAGGCCAGTGCTTCTTAAACTGAATGTATCTATAAATCACCTGCGGATCTGTTCAAATGCAGCTTTTGACTTGGGAGGTCTGGAATGGGGCCTGAAATTCCCTATTTCCACCAAGCGCCCACATGGTTGCATAGAACACTGATGCTGGGTGATATTGATGGGCTGCTTCAAGGGCCACACCTTGTGTAGCAGATTAGGTGGTTTCCAAATCTTTTGAACAAACAAGGTTTAAAAAATATATTTTAATAAATGCTGATAATCTTTAATGCCAAACATTCAAACACTGTGACAGCAAGGAAGTATCTTTCATCCCCACATTTTCCTGTTCCCTAGCAAGACCGTCCTCAATGGAGTCTTTTTTTAAGTTCAGAGTTTTTACAGATTTGCAGTTGATAGTGGTTGTTACTTTTGGGGTCTATGATTCAGAAAATGTAAAATAATAAAACATGTATTAAATTACTGACAACTTACATGAATTTGCACCTCATTAGTCTCAAAAGATCTGATCCACTAGAAAACAACAGAGCATATATGTTATTTATCCAGTGTTCATGCCCAGCTATATGTTTTCATGAATTCCTCTCTTGACCCTCTGCTGTTTTTACCTACTTCCTCCTTTTAGTCTACTGATCTTTCTAGTTTCCAACTACTAATTCCTGCATAAGGTGATCTCCCAGTTTCCTTTCACCTCTTTCTGAGATTCTCCTATGATGTGTTCAACTGTTTTTTTCCCTGACTTACACTGAAGTTCTGAAACACAGTTTGGCCTGATAGATTTCCCTCTATCTTACACAATCTCATTCCCTCAGAGATGATTCAGGTTCTTGTCTCTGGCTAAAGAGCAACAGAGAAACATTTAGGGATAAAAGGTTAAAAGGCAGATTAAAAAAAAAGAATGACCTATGCTGAAAAGTGTTCCTTCATAGGCTGATTTAAGGAAATTAAAATAAGCATTATGAAGTAAACTGTTTAAATGTGTTTGTAACTTAAGCACATTAATGATTTAATAAATTTAGTTATACTTTTTTATGTGAATGATTTATATATATTTTTGGAAACTATGTTCTTCAAATGCTGGTGTATCATCTGCAGCTCAGTAACTTGAGTTTATGTTTGTTTCTACTAAAAAAAAAAAAAAAATGGATTAAGTATCAGTCAGGACCTTATGCCATTCTATAGTATACTCACTATAGGAAAATTACATTGGATTTATATTATCTGTACTTCCTAGGACTTACCTAAAAATTTCATTGACTATAAACCTGAATACAGTCTTACAAGTATTTTAACTTAATTTTTATTGTTTTAAATGATGTTTAACTATTTTTTTAAATAAGAGAAATAGAATAAATAGCTCTACATCAGTCATTAGAACAGTAGGGATTTTTTGAGACATTCATGCTATCACATTTCATGTATGTATACATGCATTAATTCATTTATTACTTTAATTCACTTATTTTTAAAATATTAATTATTTCACTTATTCAGCAGATATCTACTGAGTGCCTACAGTGCTAAACACCAATGCTAAAAATGTACTTTTGAGTAGGACTTAATGGTACCTCCCTTCATTGAACTCAAGACCCCAACCATATTATTCAAGTCGATGAAATTACATTGTAAAGCTCTGATACATTCAATAGCATAATAATTCACACTTTATCTACAACACCTCCCACAGAGCCTGGATTAATGAAATAAGCAAAATCAGAAGTTATGAACTTGCACCCTAAACTTTTTCGTGTCCTTACGGCATTAAGTCTGTACATCTTCTGAAAATTATGATACGAGGAAAGAATGATTCCGGAAGTTCCATCCAGACAGGTTTCACAGGAAGGAACAGGGAAAAAGTATTCTTCATTTCCATTCAGTGATTTTTCTTTTTAAAAGTGGAAGAGAATAGAAACATTGACATTAGTTATTCATGAGTCTATTTAAGTAAATGCATCATTTTTTCAGTATGTTTTAGTGATCTGGTTTTAAAAATCCTTTTATAAATCCTTTTATAAAATATAAATCCTTTCATAAAAATCCTTTAAAAAATTGTTTACAATTCAGTTTATCATTATTTAGTAGTCTTGTTATCAAATTAAAATATGAAAAGTTAAAATAGAATTTTTTTAAAATAACAAATTGTTGAAATGATACCTTTTTAATAGTAAATCTACCTTTATTTTACTCTTTTAATAAGCCTATATTAAGGTTTTTAAAATAAAAGTGTAGTGTTCATTGTTTAAGTTAAATAATATATGCTATAGAAAATAGAATCCCACTGCTTATTCTGATTGCTGGCTATTTCCTTACTTTGTGGCCATTGTTAACAGGTTGACACTTTTTTAGACCACTTCTGTGTGTCTGTAAGAGAGTGACAAGCCAGCTCTACCTGTCTTAAAAAATGGGGTCTAAATAGTGTTCTGCAACTTGGGTTTGTTTCAACTCAGTATGTTGTAGGCACCCTTCAGTGTCCTCATACTCAGAAATGCTTGCCTGTTTTTGAACCATTTTAGATACAGATCAAGAATCTATTTAAAGACTACTTTTTGTGTCTAGCCAACAAAATGTTCTCCATTATTAAAAACGCTGTGAAAACTTCTGTAGAACGTATTGTGACGAAGACTTCCAGACTTCAAGACATCACTGTACCTGGGAAACTGTAAAAGGAAAATTGAGTCGTTTCTGTCAGTGAGATAGCTACTGGGTGGTTTTTGAAGAACAAATATATCAGTACCAATAGGAAACTGAAATAATTACAGCTGTTCTTTGTTACCATGTGAATTGAAAAGACCCAAGTGGCTCACAGTCGTCACTACGGTATGAATTAAAATACTGTAGGCATTTGGGCTTTAATGTCCCACTTTGAAACTCTGCTCAGCATCTGTAATAATGCTCAAGTTTTAACATGACAAAATTTCTTTTAACCAAACATGCATCCTCTGCTGTGAGCTGACCTCAGTCTCTATTTCAAGTCTTGCTGTCATTTTCTTACATAAGAGTCTTGTTCAAATTATTGAATATATTTTGTTTACCCCAGTAATGCTTAGTAGGTTCTTTGCTGTGGCCCTTCTTTATATATGCATTTTCAATTTTCTTGAAATGTACTCATCTTCCAGATTAGCCTTTCAAGGAGTTTTTATTATAAAAACTTTACATTGGAGAGGTTATGAATTCTTGAAAAATCTTTTTCTTTGGTGTTCAACATCATTAACGTAAAAAAATTCCTAAGAATCACATCTTTCTTTTTAATGTCTCGCTTTAATCCTTCTCTTTAAAAAAACAAAAAACAAAAAACAAAAAAAATTCATAATTATTTTACTTAGAATGTCTTCTTTCTTTGGCCTTCAATACCAGTGCCTGAGGTACCTTTCTGCAATTTAACAGCAGCAGCAGCGGCAGTAATAGCTAACATCTAGTGAGTGCTTCCCTTGTGTCAAGGATTCTACTTGATGTTTCAGTGCAATGCTTACTTCACTATAACCTTTAAGTAATAAGAGTCAAGTATTATGATTGTCTGTACTTTAGACATAGAAACTGATTCTACAGACATTAAGTGATTTCTCCTGGGTCACGCATAAAATAAGTGACAGAACCTGTTTCCATTGTCCATGCTCTTTACCACTACATTTTGCTGCCTGTTACTGAGTTTCTTATAAGATGCTAGCTTTAATTTTTTGATTTGTGAGCCATTAGAGACTCTTAAACACAGAGAACAAACTGAGGGTTGCTGGAGGGGTATATGGGGTGGATGGATGGGTTAAATGGGTGATGGGCATTAAGGGGAGGGCGCTTGTTGGGATGAGCACTGGGTGTTATATGTAAGTGATGAATCACTAAATTCTATTCCTGAAGTCATCATTGCACTACATGTTAACTAACCTGGGTTTAAATAAAAATTAAAAGAAAATAAAAGTAGATCTTTAAAAAAAAAAAAAGATGCTGGTTTTAGTTTAATTTACAGTTAACCAGTGTATAGCTAAGGTTGAACTTAATTTTTTTGAAGTTTTGCATTCATATTTCATTAAATTTTATGTGTTTAGATATTAGTTTTTTTTTCTAACAATATTCTTGTTAACAGTGAGTAAATGGAGGGGCCCTGGGTGGCTCAGTCGGTTGAGCGTCTGACTTCGGCTTAGGTCACGATCTCACGATTCGTGGGTTCGAGCCCTGCGTCGGGCTCTGTGCTGACAGCTCACAGCCTGGAGCCTGCTTTAGTTTCTGTGTCTCCCTCTCTCTCTGCCCCTCCCCTGCTCACTCGCGCGCTCTCTCTCTCTCTCTCTCTCTCTGTCTCTCAAAATCAAACATTAAAAATATAAATAAAAATTAAAAACAGTGAGTAAATTGAAACAAACTAATAGGCAGAAGTTTTAGGGCATTTTCCTTAGGTTTCCTAAAATATTACAAGCTACGATGACTTAATATTACAGCTATTAGAGCCATAATTTATGATGAAAACTCTTATAATCCTAGTGTTTGCGTTCTTTGGTCTTTGGATGTTCTTGAACATAAAATCTATTTTGAAAGAATTTTCATTAGGCTGTACTTCTTACTATATGATCTACATAAAATCTCCCCATTAACATCGCTAGCTAATGATTTTGATTGTCATCAAGCTTTTTCTCACATCTGTTTTGAACTGTGAAATGAATCATGACCAGATGTAAATATTAACATAGATTTGCTGATTAATAAACTCAGTATATGTCTGTGATTTTTATTTCATAAGATATTTTAAGTGATTATAAAACATAATGATAAATGTTTACCTCAGTATAATTCTTTCTTTAATTCTGTCTCAAAATTATGAAAGAGAAGGAAAAGTTGAAACTCTTTTTTCTTTGTTGTGTTTCTTCTTCCCAGAGTATTCTTACATATCACAACTTTTCTCTTAAATTGTGTAGAAGAAGGTATTGATTTTCTTCTGTTAAAACAACTGTGTTCTGTTTGTTCACATATTTTTCATATGCAAAAGTTATATCAAAGTTAAATAAGCATATTATATGGAGTTTTAGTACCTTGGGCTTTTTTCTCTCACATCCTGTGCAATTGAGAAATACTGTGTTTAAGCTACATATATGAAAATGGGGCTTATAGAATTAGACATATAGATTAGGAAGTCATTTAAGATTATACACAGACTTCCAGTGTCATTGCTCTATCATATTGTTTAAAAATTTACAAAAATTTTAATATCTACCCTAAAAGAAACTAGTGATTATAACAATCAAATTTACTTCATACATTTTTCTAAAATATTTTATTAAAGAATTTTAAAATACTCAAAACATTTTTTCTTTTTTACTTTTTTTTTTTAATGTTTATTTATTTACTTTTGAGAGACGGCACAAGCGGGGGAGGGACAGAGAGAGAGGGAGACACAGAAATCTGAAGCAGGCTCCAGGCTCTGAGCTGTCAGCACAGAGCCCAACATGGAGCTCGAACCCACAGACTGTAACCTCATGACCCGAGCTGAAGTCAGATGCTTAATCGACTGAGCCACCCAGGCATCCCTCTTTTGTACTCTTAATTACAAAGTTTCTTAATCTTCATCATTTACTTGAGAGAACTATATTCTTCTTATAATTCGACATTTGTAAAGTTCTGCATATAGCTCTTGGTAGGAGCCACAAATATTTGTGGGTCTTCTGAAGTCCCTTCTGGGATTTTATCTGTGACTAATTTATCCCATAGCTTTTTAGAAACTTTGCCAGTTGTTGAATTTTTCAGCCATTTCTTCTTTACAGGCATTTGCTAATCCTTTTTTGGTACATTCAGTACTTAATTGATTGAATGTAGTATTGGGTTTCAGTTTTTCTCCATAGAGAATTTCATTCTCTTAAAAATTGTCTACAAGCATTATATGAAAACTCCATGGCAATTTTGACTAAATTTTAAAGACATCTTTTATAAATGAGGCTTCTGACAGGTGTACTCAATCTGTGGCGGTTTCATTTATGGAATTTTACTTTTAAGGAATTACAAACATTAGAGGAGCTAATTCATTTTCAGCTTATCTTAGAAATCTTCTCTTAGAAGATTTCCATTAGTAGTACTCCTCCAACACTTGTTCCATTTTTTGCTTTTTTTTATGGACAACTTGTGCAATAGTGGTTGCTGTCCGCTTCTCACTGTGAGACTGATGTGCTAACCACCCACCACAGTAAGTGTGAAAACATGCTTGTTCTTTTATAATTGATAAGAAAATGTAGCTTTCATTACAAAAATTCATTTTATGGCGATAATTTTGGCAGCATAAGTGTTGACATAAAATACCCATTTTCTAAATGGAAGCTTTACTGAAATCTTGTTAAAGCCGAATTTTTTTTAAACCACTATAAAAAAAGTCTTAATTTTTTTTGACTTTGATATACAATCACATGAGTTATTTTTTAAATTACAGTTTTGTAAAAATCAGGACTCAAGTATCTCATTTAAGGTTTTAAATAAATAGACCTTGATGCAATCCAAGAGACAGGCATTTGCATGCAACAGAATATTTCACCTACATTAAAACCTTGACAGTATCTTTTTGTCATTTTTAACCTTATAATGGTGATTCTGGCTTTTCATAGGGTTAATGTTCCCGATACGAAATAACATTAAATTGATGTAACCATTGAAATTCATGGTTGAGACTAACTTAATTTTGTTAATCTTGTTTTATATGTACATTTCAACAATATACATAGGCCCAAACAATTGTTAATTGAAACAATATGACCGATAGAAATTCATAGATGAGATTAATATGATTAAAAACTGTGCATGTATGCTTTGAAAAATTGTCTTTATTTACAAACAAGAGATTATTCTTTTTCTGGAAATACTAATGATAGCCTTTCTTTATTCCTAATGAATGTGCAATTCAAGGGTTGGTATTTCTCTTCTATGTCCTTTTACAATTTCACTTAAAACCTAGCTGACCTTCTACTCTAACTCTGAGCTGTATTTTCCAGATATACTGTAAAGATCAAATTTTACAAATCTCCATAAACTATGCCCTCCCCCTCCCAACCTTTAATTTCTTTCTAATTTTCTTTCTGTATGAATGTTCTCAAAATAACCATTGTTTTGGTTTGGGGCAAGATATGTTTCATATCTGGTGACGTTATGTCCCTAATCCTATAATGCTTACTGTTGGTTTCAGATAACTCTCTCTTAGCAAATCAGAGAGATTGGGATAGTAGGTATTTAGAATAACTTGTCTAAAAGCTTTGTTCATAAATACTATTGGCAGACTTTTAGTCCCTGTCGTGTTCTTCAGCTGATCTAGTGTGAAGGCTTCAGATTTACATTTGGCCCTCACCAATGTTACTGCGTCTTTTGTGGCTTCCTGTAGCAGGATGTAGGTTTCCATGAATGTATTTCTATTTGTTGCCAAAAGCTACCTCAATAACAGTGTTGAAATGACTCTAAGTTTTACTGTCATAGATTTTGGAATGTTATATTACATGTATTTAACCCTTTTTATTGATATGTTTAGATGCTTTACACTAGAAATTCATGTTGGAAAGAAGTTACACAATAATAGAATATGTTTAGTTTCATTTCATGACAGTTTTATATTATAAACTTGGAAAATCTATCTTGTATTTCTTTCAGATACATTTTGGTTATATAAAGTATGCTGGATATATAATATATGCACTTCTGATTGTATATTTTCATTCAGGCACTAACATTATCATGTGAAATTATTATCTGAACACTTCTGGGCTTAGAGACAAGCAAGAGAGAGCATAGTTTACCTTTAAGATACTTAGGAAGACTATTTAACAGAACCACTGTCTCATAAGACCATTCTTTAAAGAACAGTAAAAATTGCTATTCTCTAAGTGTCTGGTGTACAGGAAGAATTACATTTTTTCTCAATTAATAACAAAGATTGAATATTTTAACTAAAAAGTAACCCTCATGTTTATTCTTACAGTTATTCATATAATGTACCCTGTTCATCACCCTGAATGAATTAAAGAGTAGATATAGAGCATAGAAGATAAACAGATAAACGGAGTTTTAAAAATCTGGTGGTGGCTGGCTGCCTCATTTGGAAGATCTCAGGGCTGTAAGTTCAAGCCCCATGTTGGGCCTTGAGCTTACTTAAAAAAATTAAAATCTTCGACCAGCTTTGAGTTTAAGAAACTTGTGAAAGCGAGCTGTAGTGTTCGCTTTGTAATTATAACTTGAGGAAGACCCCTTTTACTCTGTGTTGACTAGGAGTGTCTACTAAGCCCTTTTTATCTTCTCTATATAAATGTAGAAGCTAATACAAATCAAGTTAGAAGGCATCTATGCATTCATTTAATATGTATGGTTAATAATAAGTTACCTCTACACATTGTATGAGAAGACTTGCTAACCACAAATAAGATTCTATTACCCAAAAAATACTTGTTTTTTTGCATGAGATCAAGTAAGTTTTTATTTTCTAAAGTACCAATTTAAACAACAGCTTCTATGTACACTTATCTTTATTTCTTATATTAGTGTATATTGACTGAGGTCACTGTCCTTAAACAGTCCAATTGTACCTATTTTGTCTGCTAGAAATATTTATCCTTTATTTGGAGACCTTGTATCCTCTGTGCTGAAGACAGATATTGTCTCAATCTGAAATACTTTTCTTGCCCATCATTTTTAACATTGAGCTTTGAGCAAAAACTAGATACCTAAAAATTAATCCACATTGACAAAGGTAGAAAAAATTACAAATGAGATTCCAAAATAGATAAAAATTAGCACATAGCTAGTTTTTTTTCTAGTTTGTTCTTTTTTTCATATCTTTATCTTGAGTTATAACTTAAATTTAGGGAAGTGTATTAATTATTTGTGTAAGCTTGATGAACTTTTACGTAGGTATGGCCAAGGTACCACCACCCACCACTCCAGAAACTTTTCCTCATTCCCATCCCACCCCGTGCCCTCCACTCCAAAGATAACCATTATTCTGACCTCCATAATCATATATTCTTTTTTGACATAAGTTGTGAAAACATTTTTTTCTCCACATAGCTTATATCACGTGTAAATCAACATAGTTTGTGAGCCAGTGTCAAATCACACAATTCAAAAATAAATGATTTTGATCCAAATTAAAGTACAACTTTTAACTTCACTTGGTCATACCTTAATATCAGATTTTCCATGTGAATCTTTAAAGAATGTAAGAAAAACATAAACTCGATGTAAGAAGATGAAAAATTTTTATTAATAGACAACTCTATTCATTAGACATATTCCTAAGATACACTTCAATAACTGTGGTTATAATGTGAGCTTTTGAACCAATTTCTATGAATTTTATTTATTGCTACAGTTATTTAGTGCACGTTGTCATATACATACATACATACATACATAGGAGTTTTGTACATCAGAGTATATAGCTTCTCAAAAGGAAATGCTGCTTTTTATTCCAGGACTCCGTCGTCCTCTAACTGAATTGACTGTCGTCCAGGTATGGGTTTGATAAACTGACACAACAGTGAAAAGAATCCCTGTCCCATGTCAGCTTATCAAACACACTATGGACAGCATGTCTGTGGCATTGAACACATTACCAGTCATTTAAGTTCTGAATAGAAGTCACGAAGCTGATGTTCAGTGAAACACAACCTCAGTATTTCCAGGTGATTTTAAAGAACACCTGATAAAACTGAGGTATAGTACCACAAAACTTGAAGAATAATGCAAAAACTAGGGAAAAAATACATGCATAGAATTAAAGAATTGCAATGTCATTGGTTCAGTTTGGTGACAGAGTAGATGTTAATGAAATATATGATCATTTCTTAATATCCTGTCATCCTGGTTAAAAAAATGTCAAAATATACTATGAACATATTTACACCATAGAATAACACAGTAAAATCAAATATGTTTTGATTTTTTTAATACTAGTTAATAGCAGAACAGATGACTCTCAGGGAAAGTTATCTTTCCATCTGGATCTCTATTTTTTTTCCAACTGAATTTATTGGAAAATGTTCATCCTCAGAAATTTAGCAGCCTTCAATTTGCATAGTGTGCCAGGATCATTTGTTCAGGTTCCAGGCTAAGTATGGGAATATTAAAAAGAGAATCTTAAAATTTATTCATAGTGCCATAAATACTTTCTGATAAGAAGCTAACTTAGAAGATGATTTAGGGCAAAACGTGTTTGCTTACATAATGTTCACCTTACTTTACATATTTCAAAACAAAATAGTTAAATCTATAATATTTGCGAGTGAATTTGCCTGATACTACCTCATAAAAATATGAAAACATTTTTTATATTTATTTTCTATACATTTTAACCAGGCGAAGAGGAAATGACATGATGTGGTTACAGTACCTCATCAGCGGAGCTCCTTTGAGGTGCTTCAAGTGGAAGTGAAGGGACCAGTGCTGAGCAGAAGGCGCTCTCCTCTTTGGAGAAAACTGCAGTAGCCAAAGAGCTTTTTTAACCAGGGACTACTTTTAAATGTGTCTGGTCACCTCAAAGGATATGTAGAGCATTTCCTGCCAGTAGGATTAGAGGAAGGAAGCACCAGGCCAAAATGTTTGATGTGTGATGTACTGTAATTTCTTTCATGTGTTTGGTGGCTTTTATATGTTGATCAGTGTTCCGCTACCAATTGTGACCCTGGTGTGGTCCAGGTCATTAAAGTTCTATGTTCCTTAATGTATAGGGTCATTAACCATACCTAGGAGCATTATTATAATTAAGGGTACTGTTTTCTTTTAAACTGCCACCTCTCATTTTCATTAAGGTATTTATTTTTCATAATTGGATAATCCTCCTAAGGACTGATTGCCATGAAAGAGATGATTTAGTGCTAGGGACTGCCAATAGTAACATCACCATAGACAGCCCTTTATGTTTCCTCACTTTACCTTATGTACCTGGTTTTTAAATCAGCATTTTCTTCTCACAGTCTCCTACAGGCATATAAATAAACTAGCCTCAGAGTGTAGTTTTCCTGGGTATGTGAGGTTTAGAGGCACTAAGAATAAGTATTGACAAAGTCGCCATCAGCACTATTATACATTTTTAATGAAACAAAATTGACAATTACACATGCTCCTTACTCTTCTAAGATCACCTAGAGCAGTGAAGTGCTAAACCACTATAGCTTTAGGCTGCGTTTCAAACATAAATGAGGAACAGTGGCTGATTATATATATGGCAAAATTTGATAAACATCTAAATGCTCAGCTGTAGAGGACAGGTTAATATAATAATGGTGTATACATGCAGTGAAATTCTAAGTGACCATCATCACAAAAAAATGATACGTGTGCCTGTTTATTAACATGAAATATGCTTTAGGTATTTGGTAAGTGAACAAAAGCATTTTTAAAACTGCATATAGAGTAAGAGCTTATCTACATACATGTTTACATATTAATGGAAAATACCCTGGGGCACCTGGGTGGCTCAGTTGGTTAAGCATCTGACTTCTGCCCACGTCATGATCTCATGGTTTGTGAGTTCAAGCCCCTAGTCAGGCTTTTTGCAGACAGCTCAGAGCTTGGAGCCTGCTTCCAATTCTGTCTCTCCCTCTCTGCCCAGTTCCCCCCCACCTCCCGCTCACACGGGGTGTGTGTGTGTCTCTCTCTCAAAAATAAATAAAAATTTTAAAAAAGAAGAAGAAAATACCCTGGATTGTTATACACCAGATTGTCAAAGGTAGTTACCTGTGATCATTGGTCTATGGGAAGTTATTTTCCTTGTTTTTACTGGTGGATATTTTCTAGATTTTTTAGACTAATTTGAATTCTCTAACTGCAGTTTTAAAAAGTAGGAAAAAATGGTAGCTTTATATCCATTCTTTAAGTCTTCAGATAATGTTTTAAATTTTTAGGGTTTTTTTTTTCTGTCTCCTTAATGTAAAATATATGAAAATATGTTCTTTATTCTTTCATATTTATCTTTTCTATGACATTTATATTTGCTTTTGGGCTCTTTTTTATACTCTTAGTATGAAATCGTTAGGTCGCCCATTAGTTATTCAGCACTCAACAGTGGTGGTGCTCAGGAAATATATGCTTTATTCTGGTGTGTGTGTGTGTGTGTGTGTGTGTGTGTGTGTGTGTGTGTGTGTG